TGTCAAACCTTTTGCTCTCCAATTCTTGAACTTAAAGACCGGCACTCCATCACTATTGGCCACCGAAGCCAACGGGTCTTCTCTGTTGTTCACATCGGGTATTGTGAAGACACCGACGATTTGGTGTCCGTTTTGCTGTAATAACTGGTATACAGAGCTGGCGAACACTGACTGTCCTATTATAGCGATTTTCATGGCCTGTACTCTTGTACTCACACTTCTAACGTTTAATTTGTTAAATGAAATTAATTTGTGAAACATTCAAACGAATATTTATATATTTATATATAACGTAAACTTATTGGCGATAACACTCTTATCGCTATTTTTGTCAATAGCCTAACAGAGCATCTATTAATTTGTAGTCCACTTTTAAGGACATGTAACTTATAGTGTACTATTATAGAGTTTAGTTATATTAATTATATGATCAATATATTTTAATTAATAAAATTACTAATTACTATTAGTGAAATTACTAGTTAGTAATAGTTAATAATTTTGTAACTCGAGCAGTGTTGCTCGAGCAAAAATTATTATATAATTAAATATTTGATTATAAATTTTCGTCTCGTATATAATCTAAACATTTTGTAACAGAAATCAAGTCTTTTTGGGAGAGAAAGATATTTTTGGCTCAAAAACAGGCCCTTAGAAGAAGCGATACTTGATAAAACTCGTGTTTGATACTATAGAGAATACTATTACACTAAGAAGGGCTCAGATACCAAAGTCAACATTGTGTTTTTATAGTAAAGCAGATGTTTACACTCTGATTTAATTTATTAATATAAATGAAAAATATAACAAAAACTACTCGTTGTTATTCAAATAATATTGTCTCTATGAGAACCTTCTCTATGGTTTCAGTACACAAAATCAATTGTTTTATTTGTTTTATATTTAAGTAATAGATTTAATAATTTTAATTTAAACAACCACGTTGTGATACTTACATTTTACTTCTTGATAAACTAATTTGTACTTTTAATATAATAGTTATTTTAAATCTAATTAATATTAATATTCTAATTATAAGTTGTAATATTTTATTTAAAACTTTACTGAAAAATAATGTCGATGTTATAATTGAGGTCAGAAATAAACTAAAATTTCTAAAAATTGTCAAAAACTTTAGCGAAATAAAGATATCGATCACAAGAAAAGTGAGTTTTTAAAAGTTTTTTATTTCAATTTTTACGTCAAATATAAATACGAGTTTTGATCTTGAAATTTGAAGACAAGATTTAACCGGTTATTCAATGTATATGTGAAATATTTCTCCACACAAAACCCAATACTGATCACATTATTTGATTAGACAAATGTTGCCTTTAAATGCATTTTACAATTATATAACTTATGTTAACTGTGTCTCACTTTAAGCACAGAATTGATAATAAATTTGAATTTGATCTTATTTTAACCCTCAATTGTACAAATTGAATATCACTTATCAACGATAAACTATTATATAAATATAATACTGATTATTATTGACTGAAAATAACTTTATCAAAAAGTGCACACATTTTTATAATAAGTGCACAAATCGTAGTAAATATAAAGTTAGAAAGACGTGAATTGAAAACTTGTGACTTTTATTTCATTAAAATATGATTAAAAATGTTTATACAATAAAATAAGAGCTCTAAAAATAACAATTTTACGTAGAATAATGTTTCGTAACATTAGTTTCATTAAGTTTTGTAATAAATTAATTTGGTGTCCACTAATTAAATAAATAATTTAACAAATATTTAAATTCAAAAGTTTTTCAATTGAATTTAAATGAAATTTAGTGACTTATGGTATAGATATGTGTGATCTCATCATTAGAGCCATTTGCTGTTAGTTGACTCAAATTATCACAATTTGTAAGCNAAGGGAATCATCGGATCTGTGCTTCACATCGAAGACAATTCGCAACATTTGGATCACTTTGGCTTATGTGAAGTCGAGGTTTTTGTCCGCAAAGGTATTCAAACACTTGTTTTGCAATTATTTGACTCAACATTTGATGACCAAAAATGTATGTTTATTTGATAGACTACTACGAATGCGGACAACCGGAGATCCCGACCAACTCCTATATGTTGGACAAACCGAGTCATATCGTCACTTATGGCTGTCATAACGGCTATAAACTCGAGGGCTCTAACCAAAGGTCGTGTATGAAGACCGGCCAATGGACTGGCAGTCAACCCATCTGTCGAGAAATCAATTGTCCCAAACCTATCCCTATAGACAACGGCAACTACAGGCTTAGCGGCCAAACAAATGATAGGCCAGCGCTGGGCAGTAGAGTGGTCTACACCTGTCAACAGGGATATACAACTCTGGGAGCAAATGATACCCAATATTGTCAAGAGAATGGCACGTGGACTGGACTACAGCCCGATTGTCACCGTAAGTACAACTCATTACCTAGATTATTGTAAATATTTTTGCTATTCACTTATTAATTAATATTTTAATTGATAATAAAGCCATTGATTGCGGTCTTCCTAACGACAACAGCGAGTATTTGGGCGGAAGATTCAAACTATTGAATACATCCACTAAATATGCATCAATGGCTGAACTAATCTGTTTTAGTGGCAAAATATCGGGTCTATTCATTCGTTGCGGCGAAGATGGCTTGTGGTCAGGACTCGACTCCACTTGCATTTACAATAAAGGTTTGTATACAGTATTACCATTATTTGAACTTTTATATAACTTAATAATAACATCTCACAACAATAATTACAGTGAATTACTATACGGCCAATGCATCAGAAAGTATTGGACAGAAAAATTCAGACATAAGTGTGTCGGCAATATTGGCGTCGGTTATTGTGGCCGTACTTCTCATACTAATTGTATTAGTCTTCCTATTATTCAAAAAGTAATTTTTATTAAACTCATTACAATTAAAATATTTTACTAATATTTAAATTAACAAAAAACTTGTGGCAGAAAAATATTGCATATAAAGTGCTCGACACCGGCGCTAAACATAGTGGGAAGTCGGCGGACATCATGGGCTCTGGAAGCGCTCCGATCAACAAATCTTCAGCTGAGAAAACCGTTCAGATTTCAGTCAAACACTTCTGTCAAACAGGAAACTAATAGACATCCAATTCAGTCGTCCATTAAAACTGTTTCGTCAAACTTAGAGAATGTTTACGAAGAAATCGCTAACTTTTCCTCAAATCCCATCTCAAGTAAATTTATTGATAAAATAAATAAATTATGAAAAATTTTATTAATGATTAAAAAATTAATTAATTTTTAACTAATAATCTACTTTGTCTTCTCTTTTAGGCTTCTCGCCGATATTATCGCCGGCTTAACCGACGGTATTGTGACCATGGGCAAATGGGACACATCGGACAGATTAAGTCAAACCCATTGACTCGACCGCAACCGCTGTCACCGCCCACTGGATTGTACGCGAGGGTAGACCTCATTCAGAAACATAAGGATCGACTTATTCGGCAACAAAAGCGTATCAAAGAGTATCTAAACAGAAGTCTTAGGAGGAGTACTGAGGGAAGCGATGGTACGGATGGCACAGATGGCACGTATACCAGCCATAATCATCCAACACTTCATCACACGGTATCAAATCCGGATGAAGTATTGGGTCATTCCTCTGGAGAGGCGTATAAAACCATAAGAGTTTCGTCACTCGATATGTCAAACGCGCGTCTATTGAAGGATAATATGATTTTTGTCGGACACCCGGCGCTTACAAATTGTGATAATTTGAGTCAACTAACAGCCAATGGCTCTAACGATGAGATCACACATATCTATACCATAAGTCACTAAATTTTATTTAAATTCAATTGAAAAACTTTTGAATTTAAATATTTGTTAAATTATTTATTTAATTAGTGGACACCAAATTAATTTATTACAAAACTTAATGAAACTAATGTTACGAAACATTATTCTACGTAAAATTGTTATTTTTAGAGCTCTTATTTTATTGTATAAACATTTTTAATCATATTTTAATGAAATAAAAGTCACAAGTTTTCAATTCACGTCTTTCTATATTTACTACGATTTGTGCTGAATAATATTTTTACACACGTGAAAAACTATTTCAATAAAAGTCAGTTATTATTAGTCATAATATAAATATATTATCAAATAGCAACTATTCACTATAAGTTAAACATGTTAACTCCCAATTTTATGGATCAAATTTAAATTTATTATCAATTCTGTGCTTAAAGTGAGACACAGTTTACATAAGTTATATAATTGTAAAATGCATTTAAAGGCAACATTTGTCTAATCAATGAATGTGATCAGTATTGGGTTTTGTGTGGAGAAATATTTCACATATACATTGAATAACCGGTTAAATCTTGTCTTCAAATTTCAAGATCAAAACTCGTATTTATATTTGACGTAAAATTTGAAATAAAAAACTTTTAAAAACTCACTTTTCTTGTGATCAATATCTTTATTTTGCTAAAGTTTTTGACAATTTTTAGAAATTTTAGTTTAATTCTGACCTCAATTATAACATCGATATTATTTTTCAGTCAAGTTTTAAATAAAATATTACTATTTATAATTAGAATAATAATATTAATTTAATTTAAAATATCTATTATATTAAAAGTACAAATTAGTTTATCAAGAAGTAAAATGTAAGTATCACAACGTAGTTGTTTAAATTAAAATTATTAAATCTATTACTTAAATATAAAACAAATAAAACAATTGGTTTTGTGTATTGAAACCATAGAGAAGGTCCTCATAGACAATATTATCTGAATTATAACAACGAGTAGTTTTTGATATATTTTTTCATTTTATAATTATTTAATTTAGTCTCACATTTGTAGACGAAATGATATTTTTGTGTTACAACTGAAACCATAGACTCGGGAAGAATCACATTATCATAAGAGATATCATAGTTTGTGCTCAAAATAGTTCATNAATCGCTATAATAGGACAGTCAGTGTTCGCCAGCTCTGTATACCAGTTATTACAGCAAAACGGACACCAAATCGTCGGTGTCTTCACAATACCCGATGTGAACAACAGAGAAGACCCGTTGGCTTCGGTGGCCAATAGTGATGGAGTGCCGGTCTTTAAGTTCAAGAATTGGAGAGCAAAAGGTTTGACAAATTATATTATAAAACTTTTTAAACACATTTTCAAATCTCTTTTGAAAATTTTTGTAATTTATGAATTTAATTTTTTTATTAATTAAACTAATATTAATGTTTATACAATTGAATGATAGGTCAGCCTCTGCCCAAAGTGCTGGAGCAGTACAAGTCAGTGGGCGCTGAGCTAAATGTGATGCCCTATTGCTCTCAGTTTATACCAATGGAAGTGATTCTTCACCCAAAACACCAGTCCATTGTCTATCACCCGTCACTACTGCCCAAACACAGGGGTGCGGCCAGTATTAATTGGACCATCATTAGTGGTGATAAACTAGGTAAATATTTGGTTTTAATTTCAGTAATAATTGATCATTATGTTTCAAGTGCGGTATTTATAACGACTCGTTATTAACGAGTTTGGTTTATATTTAAAAAAAACCTATTTTTAAAATTATTAACTGTGGGTATAATTGATTCGTTTGAATCTACAGTTTATGTTATTATCAAATGAAATTAAATAATTATTTTGGCTTCAAAACAAATAAATCACTTAATAATTCCAATCAATTGGTTTTATATGCATCACATTTAAGATAATTATTATTTATATAACATTAAGTTTGATGTTTTGATGTCTTATTTCAATCGATAGCCGATAAGCATGTGATCATCGCATGAATTAAAATTCTGTGAATTATTTTATTTAAAAAGTATTATAAAGTACATGTGATGACCATGTGTAGTTTATAGCAATTTGACCAACTAGTTATACAATAAATTGATGTGTGATTTACATGTGTATATCTAATTATATATTTATTTTAAATTATTTTGTGAACCAAGAATTCAATTTTACAAATCAAAATACATTACAATATTACCAGTATTCAATTTATAGATATAATATAATATCCATTGATGTCCATTAATACTACAGTTACTGCCCTCATACCGATCAATATCTGTTTTAATTTGTGATAATAATAAATATTTAGACTAAAATTTAATCAGTTTTATCCTAAAGTAATATCATTGCCAAAAAGTCATACAATTAATTATACAATTTGTTTATTGATTTAAATCATTTAATGTAGTGAAATTGATTTAACCATATCAGTTAAAATTTAGTTAAATAAGAATTAAACAAACATTTCGAAGAATTTTAATTCAATTCGATAAACGATACACTTTTTAGTAATCACTAAACATATAATCACTAATCAGTATTTATTCATAATTTTATTACATAACAATTAGACATTGAAATTATTCAGTTTTTATTTTTATTAGGATTTCCTTTTATAATATAAAAATACAAATTTCACAAAATGCCGTAAAGTTTCTAAACAACTGATAAATTTTAATAAAACAACAATTTTTATAATAGAAAATGAATTATATTTTTAATACAAACTTAGTTTTTGACACAATATATCCGTAAAAATTAAATAAAAGCCGTGAATCAAGCGTTAGGACACTCTGTCTCCGGAATACACTCTCCATCCTCGCCCTCACGAAGAAATCCTGGGATACAAACGCATGATAAATGACAGGACTTATTGCAGGCCTTGGATTTTGCTCTATAGTAGTCACCAATCCATACACACATACGACGAGTGCATTGGGATAAATAAAAAACAAAAATTTAATTGAAAGTTAGAAACATTTACACTTAAATGAAATGCTAAATTTATCGCTAATTTGTTAATCAATTTCACATAAATTTCCATAAAAATGTGATATCAGTAAAATGCGTGCACAAAGAGGGCACATGATGGTAAAAATACGGCAAAACAAACTAACCTTCTGACAAAGTGTCTGTTTTCACACAATCGCTGACACTCTTTGGTGGCCGACTCGCAGCTCCAGAATTCTCGGCCCCCTTTGCACTCATTCGCCGATTCTATAGCATATTAAACGTGTTTTAATACATTTTATTTAGAGATTGCCTTAAAAATGTCAATTACTTTCACTTATAATTAACATTTTGATAAATGTCACTCACTTTTGGCCTTAATATGTGGCAAACAAGTGACCAAAACTATGATAACAAGTAAAGCAAATAATTTATTCATTATATTTCGATTCAATTCTTATATTATGAAATTTGATTCAATTTTTAGTTTTAAATTAAAAGCTATTTGTCTAGAAATTTGTCGACAGTTTTGTTGTTAACTTCACGGACTTATCGCAACTTTTTGTTTGCCATCAAAACAACAAAACTGTAAATTAATGGCAAAGAATAGCACAACTTTTTTATTCACTTTTAATTACATTTATATGAAACTACTTTTTATATATCGTCGAAACGGATTGTATGTCTTTCCTGTGTCTAACAACACATTTATAAAAATCAAAAGTTTGTCACAAAAATAAATTAAAAGTATTTTGATATGAAATAGAGGTTAGGAATGGAAATGCAGGGAAATTAAAGTTTTGACTCCTTTATAAGGACCAAACTTTTCCTAAAACTATATTTATATATTGATTATTAATTGATAAGAGATTTCTATTTTTAATACTTTTACAATTAGTTTAAGGGAGAGAAGGAAGGAGAGAGAGAGAGAGAGAGA